GTGTCAATCAACTGTGTGAGCGGGGCATGTTCCTGATTTGTTACCTCCAAGTCTCTTCTTTGACATAAAAGTGAGATCTTCCCCAGTTGTGGCAGCAGGGATGTCCGGATTCAGCCAGCGATGACATCACAGCTTCAGTTAATAAAGATGCAAAAGAGATTAAACTCAAACTCCATGGAGATGGTATAAGAAAGAAGAATGTCTGATGACGTATTGATACAGAAATCACAATCAAACCAAGTGATAAAATGTATATACCTTTCAAATTGACATCTGCTTGTGTTAGAGCCAGTCACTATCTATCAGTGTTTTATTTCACCAGAACTCAGAAAATCTTGGTTAACTAGTCAAACAAAGCTATGATACAGACATATGAACTTTGAAACCAGACCAGATAACAGAGCAACGCTATGTAGAAAGATAACATATTCTTTTTTGGAAATTTCTACACTTTTTTTCCATCCATATATGTAGTGGTACAATGGAGGTAAATATGAACTCATAGATATTCCACAAGGGGAACGTTGGAGTGCCCAATGGACTGCAGACTTAGATTGTCATGCTGTACACATTCGGATGCATATCAAATATTCATAATTGAATAAATAATTTGGTACATTTTGAATAAAATATTTAACATTGTTTTGCACAGATTATGTGACATTAATCAGCTGGAGTCCTGGACCAGACGTTGCCATAAGAATAATGGCTCAATGCACCAACCTGAACACATCTGGAAGACCAATAATTAATTATTTTCTTTTTACAAAAGGGATTTTTTCCTGAAGTATGGACTTTCTTTTTCAATTAACCGGCTAAATATAAACTCTGGAAACTGCCCATCAGAGACAGATCGTGTGTTTGCTCATAAAAATAATCTGCAAATGTACCAGACTTTAAAGCTGGACTGCTCATGAAAATATAAGAGTGTAAAGCTTTTGCATTTTGTCCAGAAAAAATAGGTTATATCCCCATGATGTGACCGCGTAAACAAATTAATGTCCCTATGGCGTAAGTACATACACACACGCTCCTAATCATGCCCACTAACCTTATTTTAGTCACTTTCAAGCTCTTCTCCCTGGGTAATTCAGTTAGAGCTGCTCAATCCATCAGCAGCCATTAAAACTCTCCTGCTGTGTCCTGGTGCAGCCGCTTCTCATCCTCTTCAGCGCGAGACGAGGCCGGATCAACTTCACAAGCAACCAGCTCATCTCTGTCATGTCCCATGATTCCAAAAAGTGGAGATACTTTTAATCTGAACGCTCAAATTCAACCAAGGAAGTGTGTAAGAGAGGTGGCACCCATACAATTCTTCTAACTATTTTTGGTGCCTTCATTAGATTTAGGTCTCCTGGTTGTTTTTTCCAGATCTTTTCTGGTGCTGTGTTGTTTGGTCTTGTATTTATTCACTCTCTTTTCCTACTTGATTTTTTATCATTTATATTTACAAGTCATTGTATCGTTTCTTGGTTAACATTTTACTACGGAAGGTCAGAGGTCACTGAACTCAGTTTGTTCTGTTATCTGTCCAGATGCTGATTGGTGTAACTGGTGTCTTTGGACAGAACCAGTATCTCTATTTTTTGGGTTAAAATTAAACTTAGCATCTGTGTAAAACCGTTTTCTTATAACGGTTATAACTGCTATTATGCCAACTCTGACAAGAAGACCCTGTTGTGTATCAGATTCTATCAAACACAGCCGTGGAGGTGTCTCCTATAATCTGTTGTCTTCAGACTTCAGCCACAGACAGACATAACTATCAAGGGGAAGAGAAGACAAGAAAATACATGGAATTAACTCACAGAAGATTTAGACTTCTCCGTTTCATAATGTACCTGATTCCCACGTGGTCCCTGCAGCTATGAGCGCTCTGGACTCGGGGCATTATGTTGACAGTGCATCTTGTTTGTCTCAAAGCTTCACTGTTATGACATTTGTGCTCCATCACATTATAAACAGGCAGTGTGGCTGGCTGGCAATGCCAAACCACTAATTGTTATAATTGTTAGCAGTTGTTTGAGCTGCCTGGGCTGAGGACTGTGTGTGCATTTACATGAACATGTATACATATATTTGTGTGTCGGTGCGTATTTACACGGCTGCATTGTGTCTTTATACCAAAACTTTTTGCGCTTGCCTGTCCATGTGTGTGTGTACATGTACAGATGTCCAACAACATGTGTGTTCTATATCTTTTCATCATGCTATCATACAAATCTCTTGACTGTATGGACAAAAAGCAGACTAGGAAGTCAAGAAGTTGGAAATAATGATGGAAAGATGATGAGAGGAAAGAGAAAGGAAACCTAAAAAAAAAGACAAACATTGCTGTTGCAGTTGTTTTTTAATTAGCAGT